ATCACTTGTTTGTTTTTTACGTCCAGTCACATTGAAAAATTCACATTAGAGCTTGGCCATTTGGTTAATAAAGCAGTTGCCGTAGATGGTTTGGTCAAAATTCAACAGAAACACAGGCATTTGTTGAGAGAATTTTACAGCATAAAATGTGTAAGTAGTCACACGAAAAAGACAGGATCTAACTGCATTGCTTTCAAGGGCTATTTACATCCCAACACCAATTGCATTCAAAAAGGAACTTATTGACCTAAAGGCTACTTTCTTGTGGTCGAAGTATGAAAAGTTTTACATGCACTCTCTCCCCAATTCCTACCACTAATTACATGTACATGTAGGTAACTTCTGACCTTCTGCATCAAAATTTGAGAACTCATGTCTGAATCAGTTTTAATAATATCAAAGGTTTTATCAGGAAATCTTTAGCATACAATTTGGGTATATAAGTAGAGCGTCATTACCACATGTATGTACAGGTAAACTGGGAATGTGTTTAGGCAGATACATGTAAACAGATGGAGCAATTGTCTATTTTCCTAAGTGGATCAGTTCAAATAATGTACATTGTCACTCATCAACATTAAACTTTCTCTTTTTTAGTGTACAAGTATTACATATTCCTATGCTGTACAAGTGGGTGCTGTACACGTGTATACACTGCATGCGCAGATATTTAAGAAAATATATTCAGTACTTAATAAATGTATAGTACAGTGCATATTTTGAAGTAGTTGTGTGCTCATACACTGGTTCTTTTTTAATTACTTGTGTGCAATATGTCTCAATGAGATAACTGACTTTTGGGCTTGTTTTGCTTAACAGTGATAACGTGAATATTTAATATAATTACGATAAAGATGTGATAGATTCAGTTTTGCTGTTTGTACATAATCATTCTGCAAATTACAGTGAACCTTTTATCGTGAATGTGTGGTTTCTTATGAGCAGTGTCACAAGTAAGAAGAATCCGTTGAGGAGAAACTCTTGTAAACATTATGTTGCATGCAAAGACTGTACAATCAGCAAAGAATACAAGTCACAAATTATGCTTGATTCATTCCGTGCACTGTTTGATGGTGAGTGAACTGCAATATATACTTAGCTGGCTTGACTTTGCTGTTGTGAGTTGGACACTTTGCCTAGGGCAGTTCTTGCCTGTCCTGGAGCCAACTATGAAGAATAGCACATTCAAAATAATGTGCAATAATAATTGGTTTTGAAAAATAATGGACTTCTGAGATGTAATATATTGTACTTAATCGTTAATTTCAGCCTGATGCCATCCATACAGTTGTATAGTTACCATATAGACTGGTTGCCTGTCATGAGGTTCTCCCTTTATGTTAATTTGTCAAGTTGAAGCCACTTTATAGTTGCATACAATATTGATGGCCAGTTGTTGTTGAATTGCTTTTATGAAGTGCATGTGAAACATAAGGCCTGTTCACACCAGACAAATCTTAGGATTGATGCAGGGTTGACAAACGGTGATGATTCACACATGAAAATCTTCTACCTTACACCCTGCATCAACTCCGCATCAACCCCTAAATTGATTTCAACCCAAGTTGAACTCAACCCTGCTCTGGACGAGGGTTGACAATTTTCAAGCCGGGTTGAAAATTTTTTTGTGCTAATGTCCGGGTTGAACTCGCCTTGATAAGCTCAGTTTGCTTGAAAGTAGGGTTGAATGTGGGATTGAAAACTCAATTTTCAACCCAGGGTGATCATGGGTTTTCCCAACTAGGGTTGAGTTCAACCCGGGTTGAGAGGTTCAACCCGGGTTGAAAGTATTTAAGACGTTAATGAGAGAGGCTGAGATTTGGTGAGTCTTGTACAGTTTCCAAAGAGGAAGTTGGAACCAGAAGCATACTTCTTGGAACTGCTATTGGCACCCATGTGACATATCATCACAAAATGAGCTGAAAGTTGGAATTTTTAAAACTGAGATACATGTATTGGTACTTTGGAATTCAACAGAAAGAGAGCTTTCCAATGGCATGTACAATGAACACTTAGGGTAGAAGTATAAGGTGACAATGTGGCATTATTCTGGCAGCTTTGTGTCTTATTCCCAACATTGTTTCAGCATTTCTGGCAAGGCAGGAATAATGCTATCATCAAAATTGCTGAGAAAATGACATTTTTAAATATGTGATTCTGCAAAATATTTAGAATTAGATAGGAGACGGGTTGTTCTTTCCAAATATTACAAAAACCAAAAATTGACCTCCACTTCAATAGGACTTTGAACACTCAAAATAGGAAAGAGTGAGATGTGACTTTACTCTCATTTTGTTGCGACAGGTCACATACATTGTGCCCTGAAAAGCCTTGATAAGCCAAAAAAACAAAAAAATTACATTTACTGATGAATAATGTACGGAATCATATCAGGGCCACTTGCAATGAAAATTTTCCAGATACATGTACTATCTCGCCGCCGCAAGTTTTTTTTAAGCTTAAACTAGCTCAACTCGCTGCATATTAAGACTCAATCTGGATTCCAGCCCCAGTGATTCCGACTACTCCTTTAATCAAAGGTCCTGTATCACCTAATGTCCACATGACCAACACTCCTCCAGATTTCTGGAATAGTCAAACTATTCCTAACTTATCCTGTCCATATTAAATTCAGTTTAACGTCTATACATTTTCTATAATGCTCCTCAAAATTGTGAAAATTGTTACAAAGATTACAATGAATAAAATTGGTAGCCAAATGAGCAAAAGGAGAAGAAAAAGACCATTTGGATGGTATCGGTAATGTTTGGGCATTTCCGGCTTCGTCTGTACCAAGAATGTTGGTACAGACTGAACTGGCTGGGTTATATTGGTCGGAATACTCCCCAATTATGAAGCAGATTTAGGTTGAAAAGATTGGAACATGTTTTGATAAATGGAAAGCATTTTTAAAAAATTGAATGTGTTTTGAAGTGAATGTCATTTTTAAAAATTTGTATTTTAGAAATTTGGAATAGATTTTTTTTAAAGCAGAACGAATTTTTTTCCCAGATTCGAGTGAAGTTTTAACCACTTGCAGCCAGGAGACCCGTTTTTCGTGCACATAGGCTTTCTACACGAAGCTGGGGAGCCCGAAAGACCGTACTTGACACAAAAACTGAGCTGCTGGGCATTACCAGCATTTTTTCACTCTCAATAGTGGAGACAATCCAGCCTTATTTTGAAATAGTATACCACAGTTTGGGGCATTTAGTGCGAGCGGATTACCACCGGGGACAAGAGCGCTCCACCACCACAACGATTAGCCACACAGCAACACTGCATGCTAATCTGGCCCCTATGGGTGCAGCGTCCCAATGCAAGGAAAATTCTCCGCCATGCGGAGGCGCACAATTCAGGGGCACCAATCTAGGGGCAAAGCAGACCCAAATGTGATTGAAAATTTGTCAGAAGAGCCCAAAGAAGGTGAGGAATGTCATTTGAAAAATAGCCGCTGAGAAGACTTGGGAACAATGACTTTTTGGGGGGTGAGTTTGTGTTTGGCGGATAATTAAAAAATTCATTGGTTAACCTACTAAAAATTGAAAAATAAATGAAATCTGAAGGACCAGATAACACATTGTTTTTTTATTGAGAGGCCTCAGGGACTTAAGTTTCCTGCCATGGAGCTCCAAACTTGGTTGATTTTACACTATTTTCAGTGGAGCTCAATTTTTTGACCCTAATGCTACTTTGTAGTGGATGGTGTACTCCGACTGGTATACCACGGACAGTTCACAAAATTCTTGGTAGGCCAACAGACGAGGCTGGAAATGCCCAAACATTACCGATACCATCCAAATGGTCTTTTTCTTCTCCTTTCGCTCATTTGGCTACCAATTTTATTCATTTTAATCTTTGTAACAATTTTCACAATTTTGAGGAGCATTAAAAAAAATGTACAGACGTTAAACTGAATTTAATATGGACAGGATAAGTTCGGAATAGTTTGACTATTCCCGGAAATCTGGAGGAGTGTTGGTCACATTGGGTGCATAGAGGAAGGACACAAAATGCCTGCTCACTGCCTACATCTTAGCCGGACCAATATCCTGGGAATACTTGTAGTTTTTTCTTGCAATTAAATACAAATTATTGCTGTGACCAGAAAATAGAGAAAAATCCCTGATATAAGACTTACTTTTGCCATCGTAAATAAACTTTTTAAATTTTGATACATTGTTTTATTCCGTAGTGTTCGCTGCGCTCTGGCTACGGACAAACCAGGCATGCCAGAAAGCCGTAACTGGCCAGATGTTAAAGCCCAGGCAGTTCAAACTCCTTCTGTGTCCTTCCTCTATGTTGGGTGATACAGGACCTTTGATAAGAAGAGCAGTCGGAATCATTGGGTCTGGTATCCAGACTGAGTCTTAATATACAGCGAGTTGACCTAGTTTTAGCTAACTTTTAGCTGAGATAGTAACTCACTGCGACGAGTTACTAAAAAAATTTCCTTGCAAGTGGCTCTTATACGCTTCCATAATAATGCCCCTTGTAACTAGCATATGCAATCTATTTGCTTTGCAAAGAAATTTGCCAGTTACCTACAAGTACTTCTGTTATCTTTGGATGTGAAATGAAATACCACTGTTCTTGTACAGAAGTTGTCATCTTGGTTCCAGGTGCACACGTTGCTTTAATTTTGTTTCATCACGAGGGGGTACTAAAAATCACTGACGTCTGCTTGAGTTTTCAGGTGGTACTTCACTATTGTAGTTGTTTGTTGTCAAAAATACAAGTGTTCAAACCAAGTTTAAGATGTTTAACATTTAAGCATACATGCATAGGTGTAAGAAATGCCAGAGGCTGACAATTTAATAAAATCTATTTCTGAAACAATTTATCATAAGGATGCTTTTAACACAAAACAGTGTAAAGCAGATCTCAATAAAAGATGATTGCTCGTTGGTTAATGACTACTGAGGAAACCTGTTATTTTTGTCCTGTTATTTTGTGCAGTTGTCGACACGCATTTAGTCATGACTGCAGAGAACACCACGGCAGGGTCTAAACTAGTCTTTAATGTGAAAAATATTATTAGGCACATCATCATGACTACATCTTAAACATTCAGCCTGTCTTTATAAACTGTGGAAATACTACATATGTGCCCATCAAGAAAAGTGGTATGTTTACAAAATGTGCATATAATTCTTGTAACAAAGCAAAATCCCCTCAATTTTGTAAACTCACTAGAAATGACAACAAGTTGATGTATGCAGGATTAATTTTGAACAGATAGGGCGGGAGTCGAACAGTATAATGTAAACTAACAGCATCTACGTCTACCCCAAAACAAAGAGAAAAGGATGGCAATATTGCCCAAGGCTTGCTGGCTTGATAGACCTTCCCTGGTTGACTGATCAAAGAAAAGTTCTATTAGCGTGTAAAGAAAGGAATATCTTTTGGTCCAAAACTTCATTCACTCTGGAACTAAAGTTAGCTTGCTACTGTAACAGCAGCATAGTGCACCATGTGTCTGTGTGAGTCACTACTGCAAAATCAGATGACCATCAGTCACATTTTCTGCCACCATTAAATTTCTTTAAAAAAGAAAATAACAGCAAGTACACGTATACTTGAAAGAAGTTTGCATGAGGTGACACATCATTCTGTAGCGATGAACCAAAAACTGACCCAAAACTCCACAGATACATGTACATGTACCTTGTTTCCTAATTTAAGACAAGGTAAAAGTGCAAATGAAAAATATTTTTAGGCGGCCAATAAATGAGTAGTATTAAAAGTGGGATGTCTGGCTGTGTTTAACGGAAAAAATGAAAATGACAATTTCCATTGTCTTCTTTCTAAAATGTGCTTTCAGTGTTATTTTAGTATTGCCAGGTCATACATGTGTGACTGGTAACATTTGATGTTTACTGCCGTGTCCAATAATATGACCACTTGCATGAAAGACCTCATTCCATGATAGGATGTTATTTAACTACATACTCTGTCAACCATCATCTCACTTGTAATGTTGGAGATTATCTGCCCCGAGCTGAAGTGCAACCCAAATCGGCAAAAACAGTAAGACAGGTGCTTACAAGCGGGTTGTTGCACGCATTCTGTGTGTATGCAAAGACCATACATGCCGAAGTAAATTAGTTATGCGTACTCAGTATCAAATGCGCATATACTTTGGCGCCTCATGGCGCGTCTATGCGGTGATACAATTAAATTTCTCTGTTACAGTGTCATTATAAATGAACGACTTACCTGATATAACAGAGAAAAAGAATGAAAAAAGAGCAGACTTCTGCGCAACAAGAAGCGTATTAGTTAGGTTGTACAATACTCTGATATTTCTTTGAACATACATGTAGCATAGATGTACTGAACTATTCAATGAACTATGTAGGTATTTTTTAGATTTAAAAAATTCTTTTGCCGTTTTTACCTCTCCATATTTACAGAGTATTCTGAAAACTATAATTTCGTTTCTTTTGATCCAATCAATACTGAGACAGGAAATTTTGTTCCAAGTGTGGACAATGGCATTTTATAGTTGGCTGGAAAAATCAAAATATAAAGCTTCTGATGACAAACTTTAAAACAGATCATAAACATTTCCTCAAAATATTTCCCGTATTTGGAGAAACTCTATGAAACTGCAGTCCTAGGTGCTGCAATGTTGACTGCTGTTAATGCCCTTTACTATATCTTCATCAGCTGCAAATATTGCAATAAGCCTTACCATATCATGTGGACTTGAGAACCAAACTTTCTAGCTTACTGAGATCAGGTATGAAATGGTCTGAGGGAATACTAGGGTTGCTATCAGCAATTGAACCATCCCTGTCCAAAACTACTGCTGCCATACCGACAGCTCTAGCGCCCTCATAGTCTTGCTGCACATTATCCCCAACATGCAGGCACTCTTCTGGTCTCACATTTAACCTCTCCATTGCCATCTGGAACATCTCCGCTCCTGGTTTCTGGTGGCCAGTGAAGACTGACAGTAGGATGAAGGCAAAATTGTTGGCCAAGTTCATAGCTTGCAGGACATCCACTAGTCTCTCATCACAGTTGGATATTACACCTAGGCATGCCCCAAGCCTATTCAGTGAGGTCAACGATGACTTGACCTCTGGAAAGACAAACCAAGTTAGGGGTTTCTTGAAGTCTTCATAGAGGGTGGAAGCAATCTTGCTTACTGTCTCTCTGTCAGTGTAGCCACAAGTAACAAAGGTTCTTCTTATCACCTCACACCACCATGTACTAGAAGACATACCTGAAAATGATATAAAGATATAGGACCTGCAGGAACCTGATTTCATAACAGGCTTTCCTTAAATTGTTTCGGCACAATAAACCTTACGTGTACGACGTCATATTAGAAGTTATTTCTTTCTCTTGGATAGGCTCAAGTAAACTATTCATGCATTCATAGTAACCAAATTAAAATAACAAAGAACAGCCTCCAACTCCACCTTAATGCAAAAGGTCCATAATGCACAAGGTCCATTAACTTTTCACACATAACTACCTGCTTATCCCTATATGGAAAGCAGACACTGGGGAACATTCTGTTACCTTTTTAATCACAAACAGCCATTACACAAACAGCATATTTCTCAGTAGCATGGGTGTAGTGCCATTATGTCATTATTGGTCGCATGCACAAGTACATGTAAACCCCAAGGAGAAGGAGGAGGTATAGAGACAGACTTGTAATACTTGAATGTCGCAGCCATGTGCCCTCAGCCTAAGCTTAAGCATATTTTATAGCCATCATTGTATGCACTCCACCTCAACTCTTGTAATGCCAAGTTTCCATAAAGGCTCTTCTCACTAGACCACCCGAAATTCTCACCCCCCCCTTCAGCCCAGAGATTGCTCTTTCCCCGGGTAGGGCGAGTTCCAACCCCTGCTCTGAACCTGGGTTGAAGTTTTTATTCTCGGAGCGAGACACTTTCCCCCGGGTGAGAAGGGAAGAATGGAACAGGTTAGGGGTGAGTTCACCCTGGGGCAAACAATGGCACGAAGTGCACGCTAATCAGATCAATTTGCACAACATGAAAAAGTACTCATCCGATTTATACATACCAAGTAATATGGGCGCAAGTTAATTCATTGCAATTCTTCAAAATGTTTTCTTTAAAACCTCCATCTTCTTGCGTGTCCAATCTGCTATCTTGCCAATTATGCCAAAAGAGAAGAAAACAGTGGAGAGGCAGATTTGGAGTGAGGAATAGGTATGGAAATCAATCACCATTTGGGAGGACTTCCCCTGCGCTGACAAGTTCCACTTGCAACTATGTTACAAGCATCATGCCCTGCCCGTCAAGTGTGAAATGACAGTACTGATCCCCGGGGCTAATTCATCCCAGGGCGAGGTAAAAGTATGGTTTGAAACTGGGTTGAACTGGGGGGAAGGGGGGAAGGTTCGCCCCAGGGATGAGTGTTCTTGTGGGAAGAGCCTCATAAAATGATGCAGACACAATCACGTAACAGTCCCATATGAAAATATGACTGATGCCAGTATGGATGGAGAGAGACAGCTACCTTAAAATAACTGAGTTGGGTCATCAGCATAAGCATAATTTAACACCAAATACAGTTGAGTATCACATACCATATGAGGCCCATTTCTGCTTATGTCGAGAGAATCAAACCCAATCTATGAGGTGAATTTCTCTTTTAAAAATTTAGCCCCCTCTACAACCATAATTTCATGGTTTATCTTCACCCAGTG